ACTTGAACCGAAACTTTTTACAAGTCCAGTACCGGTTCGGCGTACCGGTACGCAGCACTAATTACGTTACATTACGTTACATCACATGTTACTTGTTAGACGCTTCTATCCAAAGCGACTTACATACTCAATACTGTGGACAATCCCCACAGGAGCAATTTGGGGTGAAGTGTCTTGCCCAGGGACACAACGACATGCTGACTGCAGTGGGGTTTGAACCTGTGACCCCCTGATTCCAACACCAAAGCTCTATCCACTGCGCCTTACACCTCGCCCCCCCCATACGCCTTCTGCATGTCCTCCCTCCTCTCCCCCCTTTGCTGTCTATCTTTGGCTATTGTATCCACTATAGGATAGTACATCTATTAAAAAGACAAACGAACTTAACATCACTTCAATTGGTTTTTATTTAGCGTGATACCATTTGTGTCAAGTTGTATTAAAATTAATCAAACTCTTCAGCTTCATAATTTATAAAACCATAATCCAATGTTTTATTTGTAACATGTAGCTGAGCAGTTCTTTTGATCACTACCTTTTTGTATTTTAGCATAAAAGTAGTCTTAGTACTAACTAAATAAATAATTTACCTGGGTTTACTCTGTTATACAAGGGAGACATGTAGAATATAAAAAGCTAATTAAAAAGGGTTGGAAAAAGACCATCTTGCATTCCCTTTTGAAGTATTTCAATGTTATTTCAAATGGTTTCTGTTGCAATATATCTTATTGTTTTTGTATAGCCATTTGAATTGTCTTGTGTTGAAATGCGCTTCATAAATAATCTGGCCTTGCCTCACCTGTAACGGCGGTGTAAAAGAGTGGTAACAATGTAAGATTAATGGAGGTCTGAATTGGCAGCCGTTCTTTCTTAACAAGCGACATAAGTGCTTGGTTACTTCTCTCTTGACGACCTCCTATGGCATGCGTCAGAAAAGGTCTTGTAATGTATTAAATCGACTTTGAGTACAACTTTCATTTCTTTTACGGGTCAATCTTAAACTCATGGGCTCAAATCCTGCCTCAGTCCAGAGTGTACAGTCGTTGCATGTGTTTCTCCCTCTCCCTCTGATACAAACACTTGAAATCCCAGAGACAAACAGAGGAATGTGTAAAAGAAATGTGAGAAATGCAGAAATACATTTCACAACAAGACACCAGGGGAGGTTAGCACGCAAACATTTCAAGCGCTCATCATTGAGACGAGAAATACATTAAGCATTGTCATGAAGCCTAGCTGTAGTTGAACTTGTTCTGAACTTT